ACACCTCCCCACATCTCCCCACACCCTCCCCACACCTCCCCACACCTCCCCACACCTCCCGCATCTCCCCACACCTCGCACATCTCCCCACACCTCCCCACACCTCCCCACATCTCCCCACATCTCCCCACACCCTCCCCGCACCTCCCCGCATCTCCCCACACCTCCCCACACCTCCCCACATCTCCCCACACCTCCCCACCAGGCTTCTACCTCGTCCCATCGTCCGGAGCAGTACAGTGCGTCGCTACCGCCCGCGTGCTCGCGCGGAACGGCTTCCGGCTGTGGGACCTGGGGATGGAGCTGGACTACAAGCTGCAGCTCGGCGCACGGTGCGTCCCGCGCAAGAGTTGCATATCTCCCCACATCTCCCCGCATCTCCCCATATCTCGAGGCCGAGGTGCGTCCCGCGCAAGAGGTTGCATATCTCCCCACATCTCCCCACTCCTCCCCATATCTCCCCATATCTCCCCATATCTCGAGGCCGAGGTGCGTCCCGCGCAAGAGTTGCATATCTCCCCACATCTCCCCACTCCTCCCCATATCTCCCCATATCTCCCCATATCTCGAGGCCGAGGTGCGACCCGCGCAAGGGGTTCCTCTTCACAGCTGCGCTATTCACAGCCGCGCTCTTCACAGCCGCGCTATTCACAGCCGCGCTATTCACAGCCGCGCTATTCACAGCTGCGCTATTCACAGCTGCGCGATTCACAGGTGCGTCCCACGCAAAGAGTTTCTGCACCACCTCGCGCGCGCGAGGGAGGCGCGGCCGCACCGCTCGCCGCATGGCGCGGCTGTGAATAGCGCGGCTGTGAATAGCGCGGCTGTGAATAGGCGCGGCCGCACCGCTCGCCGAAGACGCGGCGCATGTGGGTGGCGGAGCTCATCGAGCCGCCGCCCACGAAGCAGCGCCGCGGCGAGGCGGGAGGCGGCGGCAGGAGCGGGTCGGCGTCGGCGTCGATGTCGGCGATGCCGATGCCGTCGCCTCGCAGCAGCGGCGGGTGCGAGCTCTCTCTCTCTCGGCTCTCTCTCTCTCTCGGCTCTCTCCCTCCCCTCTCTCTCTCTCTCCCTCTCTCTCTCTCTCTCTCCCTCTCTCTCTCTCCCCACCCCCGGCCTCACT